TACTAAAATGACAAATTCCTTTGACTACGAGACATGATTGAAGTCATGCTAAGTTGGAAAATTTGTCCATTCATTTTAGGAATATTTATTTTGACTAATTCAAAGAACATGTCTGCCTCAAGTTGTACTTAAACTTTCACCATGATTTGTTCTAATTTGAGGCTTTAGATTGTTTCTGGGAATAAAATGTTCACAATGTACTTTAAAGATACATCCTGGATGTAGAATCAAATTTTTGTTTATTTATCAAAAGTGTCAAGTTTGGATTGAATTATTGAGGCAATATTTACAGCTGTAAGGGAAGAAGTATTGATTTTGTAAAGTGATCGATCAGTTCCATACTTTTGGATGAATTGACACGTAAAGTCAAACTTATTGACTGAAAATGATTGAATTTGTTATGAATTCTATTGTTGAAGTCATCTTTGCAAGCTATTTAGTTTTCTTGTGACATTAACAACCTCATTGATAAACATCAAGGAGGTGGAATAAGTAAAAATGTTTTAAAGCCACTAATTTGTCACATTTTTCAAATTCCCAATTTACTTCTTGCTGACTCTCATTCAAACATCCAATTTCTAAAGAAATATGCTCTTCTACTTCTTTAGTCATCTCCAAAACAATTTTAATCCTTTTTTCATCTTATTTAATATGAAGAATAAATTTCAACAAGGCACATGTAGTTTATTGCCTCAGTCATGAAGATATTCGCATATATAAATATACAAATTGAACTCAGTCCCAAGTCAATGCATGTTTAACATGTCAAGGAATCAAAGGTCACACTAACAAAAATTTGTATATAGTCAGCACATACATGGAGACTCAATTGAAGAAAAGGAAAAATATTGAATAACAAAAGATCAAATTGGATGTGAATTTTTGTGCCTTTTTTTTAAAACAAAATTCTTCTTGTTACAGCTTGTTACTACTTGATAATAAAGATAAAATGAACCTTTAGTTTAAAATCTATAGAAATAATTAGAAGCACAACAGAAAATGAAGAGGGAATTGGAATGGAATTTTCAAAAGCGAGAAAGAAAAATTTATCTTGATCTTCTATTTTTTCCTTACCACAAAAATATATTTTTGCTTCCTTTCTTTATTTTTTAGCAATTTTTTGGGTGGCTGGAAGGGGTTTTTGTTGGACAGTTTGTACATTTTACTAATTTGATTCCAAAAAGGCAGATGAGTGCAGCTAAAGATTTAGAGAACTTACTATTGCATCGGCCTGAATGAAAGCTATCAAAAAATCAGGTCAGGGATGGTTAAGGATAGGGTGACCATCTGCGTAGTTTTACAACGGACAGTCCTGTATAAATTTGAAAATTTTGTTCTAGGTCCTGTATTTTTTTCACGAAAATTTCCGTTAATTTTCAAATTTTCCTTTGTGTCCTGTATTTTTTATGAAATTTATCAAATGTCCTGTATTTTCATATAAATTAGATGGTCACCCTAGTTAAGGATCAAAAACTTCTATTCAAAGAATTGCTTCTATTCAATATGAATTGCCCAAAAATAGTATCATTTGATCAAAATACTAAGTATAATATCTTAGAATTAATTTACAGGTAAATCACTATATGCTTATTAAGAACATATCGAACAACAGAGTTGCTTTGAACCTAAAAGATTCTAGGAGAATAACAGCTCATAAATAGTATAAATTTAAAAAAAAAATGTCAAAAATAGGAATTTTTCACACATTTTAATCTTCATACATTTTCCTCATCCCAAACAATAAGCATCTAACCAGAATAACCTTCAATATCCTCAAGATTACACACAATCACATATGCATCCTATCCAACCGACATCCAATAACTCTTTCACTCGTTACTATACAAAGAAAAATAAAACGAAAGGCAAAGAAACCAAACCAACGAGCCATTGAAAAATATAATCAGCATGTATATGCTCATATGAGGAAGAGATTATGCACACAATATACATAGGAAGGTAAAGATGTGCACATATGTGAAATAGGAAGGGAAGATACCATCAGGGCTATTAATGTTTGTTACCAAAAAACGAGAAACTCAACTCATTTCCACAGTACATTTAAGCTCCTTTTTGTGGATGTTTATATTTGAGGAAAGTCTACGGGACTTTTACCTAAACATTTAAAAAAAAGGTAGTTTAATGTCCGGTGTGGAGATTGACACATAAAAATTTTCTAAATACAGCAGAGAAATAAACATACTAATTATTAGGACGTTTACATTCCAGAGATACTTCCAGATATCTTTCTGACTGAGTATATTCAGTAAGGGTACTTTCATTACATTTCTCGGATATAATAGATATACAAAATGTTTTGAATACTTTATAAATTGTGACAAGATATGTTTGGGATGATAAGCATTTTTCTCGACAAAATCTAGTTTTAATGGACATTCCTTGTTAGTGATCATTATTCATCACTGAAACTTAAATGGATGTAGATTAAGAATGATGGATAAAATTTTACGACTTGTTGATTTTTTTCAATTAGAAAATAAATTATTAAACAAAATTTTAATTACTTTTAAAGGTTTTGAATCATCCTTTTACTGAATTGTTGGAGACAGGATGAATTGGGATGAATGGTTTGCAAGAATTTCAACTGAGTTTCTAATAAAAATAAAGTTTCTAGACTGATGAAAGTTGGTCAAGAGGAATTCAATTAAATTGTTTGACTAGTTTTTGTTTTGTTTGGAGTCTCCTGTATCTATTTAATTGGCTTTGTTAAAGGAGTTTGAAGTTGCAACTAAAACGAATGGTTCAGATGAAAAGTAATCATTCCTGAAAGATACCTCTACTCGAAAAGGTATGTGCGGGTGGTGTATGGAACAGAACAACAGAACTTCATAAAATTAAATTGCAATTATTATAAGACCAAAAGTTATCTGTCTATTCTGGATTGTCCTAGGAAACGACTTCAAGGCTCAAAGACACAAAGACTTCTTTTAATGACTCTGAATTGTAATTTATGTTGGCATTGTGCCAAGTTTTAAGTAGAACCTGATAGCTTAGTGGTAAGAGATTGCAAAGAAATATCATAAGAACATGGGTTCGATTCCTTCCCAAGACATCTTATTAAGAACTTTAAAATTTTATCCTGAATCTGACAAAAGCTCTTTGTGGCTCACCTGTAAAATTCTTAAGTCTTACCTTTATATCGAGAAAAAAAGTTTGAGAACCACTGCTATAAATGTATTTAAATACTTTATAATCTGCAAAACTTTAAACACGACTGAGTGAATTTGTCAAAATTAAAATTCAAAGATTCCGGAGAATATTCACAAGAGTTTTTAAAATCCCTTGGGAAATGATGATAACAAACAATTGTGTCTAGAACTAATAGTTAAAGATTTCCCTTCTCAACAAAATTATCCCCTTTATAGAATTTGCTGCCACCAACGCCTTACTCATAAAAAAGCATTTTACTCTCTTACTAATTAAATTGCTCTGTGTAATTTGAATTGTAAATTTTTTCTGTAAGCTGCTCAACAAACAGGGGAGGCAGAAAAAGCATATAACATTCATAATATTGTGGAAAGAACTAGAAACGGGGTTAGAACTAAATAAAGGAGTGTTAGCGAGTATGAAAAAAAATCTTTACACATAAATTTCATGTTTATACTTTTTTCATCGTCGAACGAGTGGTGCGAGAAGCAGTTTTTATGCCTCAAAAATATCAATTCAACTATCTCGCTTGAGGTGAAAAATTTGTTTTTTGTAACCTTAAAAAACTTTTCATGTCAGGCAACAAAAATGTTAAAGTCGTTATCTACATGAAAAACATTTTTTTATAGTCCTCAAAACCTTGTAACCAATTTTTATCGCTCCCAGAATAAAAAGAGATAGAGTTTCTGATACTACGTAAATATTTTACAATCCAATTTGTAAGGGGTGAATCTGATAGGAATGAGAGAAGAGAACAAATGATAAAATGAATTAATTACTCAATAAATATTAGGGCTGTGGCATATTGATAAGGTAATGCTTATCTTATGGCATAAGTTTAAGTTCATAATCGTTTATTGCGAATTTTGAGTCAATGATATTAAATTAGAGTTATTTCATTGGTTCAGGCAGGGTTATAGCTTCAAAATTAGATTTTTTGGAAACACTTCTGCAGCTGATTTATAGAGGGGTCTGTGGTAAACTACAATAATTGAATATCGTTGAACTTTGGCTAGAAGATAGTACCTGAGTAGCACTAGCAACCATCTATTTGCTACGTCCTTATAGTGTTTTACCTTTAAGACCTTTAAACCATGCCCTACTACCTGGATTCGACCCAAATCTAATTTATATGATTATATGATGACGGAGTAGCTGGATGCTAGCTTGGTAGTTCAGCTATGAGTTTAGCACTTGTATCATCGAGTTCTCGACACATCATTTTAATTGGTTTTGAGAGAACCAATAAAAGACTCGATTAAAAGGCGTCGAAAATGCAAATTTCTTTCTGAGTCCCTCTACACAAAACTTTTATGCATATTTATTAAAAGTTTAATCACTTTTAACTTCAAGGCAGGAGTAAAGACTCACCCCACACAACTTAATCCCACCCATGTCCTTATCCTTATTCCCCGTCATATATCATTCCCATTTCCATCCATGACTCATTTCCCATCTACATATTTACAAAACAATTTTGAGACAGGACGTGAGCAATAAAAAAATTTCTCGATCCTTACATTTAAAACAATTCCAATTAGAGTCAAAACGGCTGTATAATATGATATGAAATGACTGTTTGTAAATTGACTCTAACTTTATTATCATGCTTATAATTTTATATGAAGATGTAAATATGTTTTTAGCATAATTTTATGTTGAATATTTTAGTTTTACATTTATTTCTTATGGCTGACAAACTATCAAGTTTTGTAATAAAATGAGAGAATAATACATGGAAATAGATTGGATATGAATTGCTTATGATAAGTTATATAATTTTTTTTTTGTTTGAAGGAGGTCATTTGCATCATTTACAGGACTGACATTTGATGAAGATAGCTTTAATGAATATTAGCTATTTAGGTCAACTAGGCTCCATTACTTTGATAGTTCTCTGTGTGGAGTGTGACCAGCCCTAGATTATCCATACATTTCGTCACAACCTTTTGGCAGCAAAGTAGATTATTATGGAGCTTGGTTTGAGTAGCAGTGATCAGAGCAAATCAGATGCAAGTCATTTTGCTAAGATCAGAACCTCCATTTTACTCGGGAATGAGATAATTTACAACCCATCTACCCATATGACTAGCTTCTAAATATACCATTTCACTACTGACTCACTATAGCTAACAATATAGTTCCTTATACATCATACAATAGCTTTATCACACAATGAATTATTAAGTTCCTTCACGTTTTGCCATTTGACTAGCTAAAGGTCATTCTTACGATTTCAATCGTTCTTAATACCAACAATTCCACACGACCTTTAAAATAATACATAGCACATAACATTAATTCCAGCAATCTTATAAAGATCATTAAATATGCGCTTTTTGCTGCCACACATGACTTAATTCAACTAGTTCAAGTGTCTGAATTAAAAAACAACAGGAAGAAGGGAAGTAAAAAAGAAATCTACGTTAAAATATAATCAAGTAAAGAAATTAAGAGTGTTAAGAGGAATGAGTATGAGAAGATGAAGAGTAATGAATGAATACAGCAATGTAGCATCAACTGCTGCTCATGTGTAAGAAGACAAAAGGCAAAAAGGAGAGAAAGTTGTAACATTTATTAAAGTAGCAATTTAATTGTATTATGAGAAAGAGATATGGGAATAAATATATGGTGGCAGAAGGGCTATATATCTCGCTTAGTCCGTAGTATAGTAGACATAAATGAGGATACTCTTTTATACTCACTTAACATGCTTTTGCCTTTTTATTCTCATTTTTGCTGTTGCTATTGCCACAGTTATAGCTTAAACCACATAATGAATGAATATAAAAGGATAAAAGTTGAAGGGAGGAGGGAGACAAAATATGCTTGAATCCAGCACCCAGCCACAGATATATTTTTTCTTTACAATGTACACAACATGATAGTAGATACATATATAATTATAACAGCTAGTCACTAGATGAAACGAAGGAGGAACTCAATGGATTAACTTACATATATTTTAATATGTTAGAGAGACGATATGATGCGATGTTATGATGATAAAGCCATACATAAATATGTAATTATGAAATTATGTGTTTTTCTATTTGATTGTAGATGTGTTAAGTTCTCATCTTCATATTCCTTCCTTCCTTCCTTCCCTCCCAGTTCTTTTTTTTTGCTACCCATAATATCTTGGCATTTTTTTATGACTACGATTATTGAGATATATACAAGCATACATTATATTATGGCTTGTAATTTCATGTTAAAATCAACCTTATTGTCTATTCAGTAATTTTAACGATGTGGGAGTTGATTTCTTAAAATTGAGATATAATTCAAGTCAGAAGCACTAGATTATAAAATTATCAAGAAGTTGCAGATTTTAACATCATTTTTTGAGTGGTAATGAAGTTCAAATTGATCATTTGCTTAGAAAAAACTTTCAATTCCTTTTCAAGCATAACAATATCAGAACTGCCTACACCATTATTTTCACTACGCTTCATTTAATATCGGAGAAAAACATCAAAAAATTTCTTAATGATTTACAGTAATAATATTTAATATCCATTTATTTTATTTGCCAATCGCTTCAATTTTATATTACATTATGGATGGAAAATGAGAAGGAAAATTGTCTCGAGTAGGAAACGTAACAATTGAGAGTTGAAAAGTCATTCAAATTGATGAGTATAAAGTGTAGCGCATGAAAATGGTATTAATAATGATTATCTGATGTGAAGGTTCAATGTATTTGATACGGGACATTAATGTGAGTTTATGGATGCTTTGCAACCTAGGGGATGTTTACTGAAGACACGTCAATAAAATAGTGGATTCTAGGAAGGATGATATCCTTGTCGCAACATACAGCAGTTTCTCTACTAACTGATGGATATTATTAGCGAATTTGGGGTGTATTCGATGCTGAGTCAACACTTTTGTTGGATTATTCTGCCTCCTAAGTGTAATTTGTCTTCCGCAGTGCTTTAGTACCTAATTGGTCTTTACGAATATTCTCGTGAAATAACAGTTTTAGTAACATACCTGATACAGAGCTCTATGAATCATTGAATCCTTCTCTGAAAATCCAATGGGCTTTCTAAGTACTTAAAGTCAAAATCGGCTATCAGCTAATGCATAAAAATCAGCATCTGTTAGTTTAAACAAAGAATTCAAGCATTGAACAATATACATTATATACTCTCAACTATTAAATCTCTTAAAAATGAGCACAGCTAAAGTTAGATTACATTTCAATAAAAGAGTCCACTTACTAATGAAGTAGATTATTCTTTGCCTTCTATTTTCAAAGCACTTCATCCTGAAATCAATCAAAGTCTATAGTTTGTTAAAAATAAAAATCCATAACACTACAAACTCCACTCAGACAAAGTGTGCAAACAATCAAATTTAAATCAACAATACAGCGCCAAAAAATCGAATTAAATTGAACATTCCTGGCGGATGTGAAGGGAGAATGGAAACGAGCAAAAAGAAATCAAGATATTACAACAGACTGTTTGATATCGCCATCGCAACGCACAGCAAATTTCCCATTATTTCCTGCGCGAAACGACCAGCGATGAGGAAAAAAAGATTTTTTTTATTTAATGTCTCAATTTAATTTTTTTGCTTTACATAAAAATAAGTTCTCGAAAAAAAATTAATAATTGTACAATGATGAAATCCTTAAAGTATAAGTCCTATTTAATTCTTTTATGCTCATTTATTTGTATATTTTTAGAAAATATATAATTTTAAAATAACAAGAAAAAATGTTTGTGGAGGATGTAAATGAATCGTAAACAAAATTATACGGAAAAAGAGAGAAGAAGTCAGTAGAATCGTCACTGTAATGTAGACTCGAATTTTAGCATGGATGTGAGATGATGTTTATATATTTGGATATAAACTGTACCAAACAGAACCAAAGGTTCAAGGAAGAATCAAGAATCCTATATCCATGAGTTTTGGACCATTATTTTATTACAAATAAATATGGACGGCTGGTTTCTAAGTTTAGCTTAGTCACAGACCAATTTTGCTAAAACCTCAGACCATATTGCATTGATTTTGAATTTTAAGTGCACCATCTGGATCAACGCGTGGAAACTATCTCCAATATCCCATTCATCCCATACATCCCAAAAATATTTAAAATAATCCCTGAGCCTGTATGCATTATAATTGAGATATACATCATATCCTGAAATTATACGTCCAATACACCAAGGATACGTTGGGATATCTTTATTAGCGTGCATACATGCTCTGGAATTTTTTGAATATTTTTGGGATATGTGGGATAAATATGATATTTGGAATAGTTTCCACGCCTTGATCTGGATCTTTATATTCTACCAAGAGGTCGTTTACTAAGTACTTATAAAGTCCGAAATTAACGGTCATTTTTCAAAAAAGAACAATGGATTTCCAGGAATTTAAAATGTTTCTTTCCTTGCTGACCCTTCCTTCTGGACGTCATAAATAAACAACCTCTTGGTAGAATGTCATTGTTGGTGCAGAAGACCAGAGCCAAAGCTGTTGCCTCACTACTTGTTAAAAGATCAGCAACAATCCATTAGCAGCAAATGCTATTATATTCTTGAATATTCTAGAATTCTTATTTAAGAACCATAAAAGAACCTTTCAGACTTAAAATCATTCCATCAGTTCTCCAGCCCATAACATCCATACCTTAAAAAATGTAAATCAATTTTCTTCTTTTTTAATACCATGCTAAAATTCTCGTGGTAATGTTATTTTCAGAATGATTGAGGAGGAATCATGAATAAACTCAAATGACTAAAATCGGTGGTAGAAAAAGAGAAGAAAGATAGAGAGAGAGGAAGTAATGAAGGGTAGATGTGTATGTTTATGTATTCTGAGGAGGAATTTTTTTTTAATGTTCTTAAAAGGAAGTCGAGGAAAAAAGATGAAAATGGAGGTCATGGCGGAAGGAAATCGACATGACACGATCTCGATAATATACATATTTTCTATGTTACTTATAGTACGTTATTGTTCTTGTTGCTTGTATTTATTATATCTAGTAAATATTTATTCATGATATAAATTTATGGATCTAAATTCGCGCGTATGGGAAATGTTGCATACGCGCGAAAAAAGAATTATTTAATAAAAAAAAATTGTAAATTTTAAGATTAATAAAAATGAATGGTAGCCGAGCAGCATAGAAATGCTATTAATGTTTACAACAGCAAAAAAAAGGATGTTGCTCGGAAATGGAGGAAAAAAATCTGTTCTGTTAAAAAATTATATAAAATTTCCTTAAATGCCTGAAATGTTTATCTTCTCACTGGATGTACAAATACACACAGTACAAAAAATTGGGTCATTTCCCGCTACATAATTTTTTTTTTCTGTTTAAATCTGGCGATAACCTAATTTCGACGATACATTATTTGCTCTTCCCGCCTCAACGCTTGCATCAGGATGATTGCCAAAACTCCATTTATAACCTATAAAATAAAGCATTAAATGATTTTCAAGGTTTTTTAAGTCGAGAATGCTTACGTGGATCATTGCCAATGACATTGCCATAGCGGCAGCCCAAATAGATTTATCTTCCAAATACCATGTCAGTTCATCAACACATCCATTAGCAAAAGCATGTCCGGTGATAGTATCGCGACACTCAATCGGCAATGGTTGACGGAGATTTAAGTAGTCGTTTGGTCCTTCCGATCCGCAGCATGCAACCTGTGTTAGACAAACAAAAAAAAAACATAACAGGATGAAGGATATTTATAGCAAAACATGAGAAGATTAAATGGCAGTTTGTAGATAATTGGTAACAAGAGATTCATTCAGAATCACATTCATTGTACAATGAAAACTGGCAACAGATATGCTGTATCTTTATGCCCCCTTCTTCAGTCTCATTTATTTCATTGGAATCAATCATCGTAATGTGATTGATAGCTTGACATCGAATACAGAAAATGAGAGAAAGATTTCTTCCTTCCACAATCTTTCGTTCCTCATTTAAACTCATACTACAATTGCCATTTTCCATAGCTGAAGCTATGTATAATGTGATATAAATTGCAACCGATTTCTCACATTACATGTGTCGAGTCATCGATTTCATCTCTCGAAAAAAAAAATTCTTTCATACCCGTATGTATGTTTTTTTAAAGCTGATATAACGGCAAGCAATAGCTCAGAATGGAAACTTGGCAATAAATTTATGTACACTCTTTTTGCCACCCTGTTCCTCTTCCCCATACTCATTTTCCTGTTATTTCTCTTTTTTTGTTGCCTCATATTTCGAATGCAGTGGAAAATTTTTCATTTCCTCTTGACATTGTCGATTACTCCCTACATCGTATCTGGATGCTTTTTTTTGGTACGGAATTGATGGTAAAATGGGATTTAATGGCTATTTTGTCAGATTGTTGTTGACGTATTGGGTCAGAAATTGAAAGATGTGAGCTTATTTTAAAATGTAAGGAAATTGAGATTTGATGAGAATCGAACTTGTGTCCTCATAAAGGGTGATCTAGACTATTTATTCAAATATCACTGATTCTCGACCAACGAACTACTTGCATAGCTTTAGCTATCTGTCCTTCACTTAAAAACAATCTCATTGCAAGTCCTATACTCATACCAATCTACTTTTGATACTCATACCTACAATGAGTTGGTCCAATATATCTTATTGAGTTTAGAACTTAGTACTTAGGAATTGGAAGACTAATCCTGTATTTTGCCCCGAAGGATGGTTTTGGTAAAAAACATAGTTTATATTCTAACCAACATACGCCAAGAACTGACCTAATAATTGATAAAGATTAATATGGAAAATTTGAATTTTTTAAAACCGTTAAAATTTTAAAATTCTCAATTTATCAATTCCTATTAAATTAAGCGCTCAAATCCACTTCCATCAGCACATCCTACCATTTTTCGATTCCATAACATCGGAATGATAAGTCGCACAACTTTCTTTTGTATTTATTTTTTTCATTTCATTTTACATCGCGTTAAAATAAAAATTGGAAAGCAAAATATTCTCGTGTTGTTGCTGCCACCGTTGATGTTGTTGATGAAGGAAAACGAAGCATACGAAAAATCCAATTACTTTATTTTCATTTCTCCAATCATTTTCATTGATAATCAATTTACTTCAGTTCACTGATTTCATCATATTAAGACAATTATCGGTTATATGGTTTGATAGTTTTTTTTTCGCTCGTTCTCTTAATTGTTTTACGATTAATCTTCGAAATAAATTAGAAAAATAAATTTTGCTACTGCAGCTGCTGATGAATTCATTATTGAGTCGTGAAACTTTTTTCAAAATGATTTTATTTTATTTGAAATTAATTGTGATGATTTTTATTGAATCAAATTGAGCGACTGTAGAATTTGTAAAGGTTAAAGGAGAATGAAAAGTTGATATAATGATATTGGAATGAACTGTTGTAGAAATTATTGATATCAGGTGTATATCATTGAGTATATAGAAGTGCGTTTCATGAACCGGTTTCTAAGGCAACATAAGATTCTCTTATCCACAATTGATATTTGATGTATTTCAATCAAAATCATGCCTCAGCTAGTGTCCAGAAGTAGCTCAAGAAACCTATTTAGGACATACGACTGTGTCAAATATAATAATTGCTCCATGAACTCAAGTAAATATTTTTGGATCCAAAGAATTAATTTAAAATTTCAGATGATTCAGTCCAAATAAATCTAACCCAGGTAAACATCCACGTTTAACAATATTGAAGATTGTATTAATACTAAAAAACACGACTTACGTAGAAAGTCACTAGCTTCCGCATTTAACTTATGTTAGATTACAGTTCTTTTATATATATCACAAAACAAAAATTAGTGTATCGGGTAAACCCAATGTGGATATATTCACACCGTACCATCAAAAGTCTTATGGATAGACCAAGATTTGCTTAGCATAAGTTTGAAGGTATAAAGCTAGCGAGTCAGGTGAGATTCGCTCAGCATATGTTTGAAGGTTTAAAGCTTAACGAACATTCTTTAAAAGTTATTTAAAAAAAATTTTCATCTAAAGTTGAATTTTATAAAAATCACAGAGAACTTTTGTTTTGAAAAATTCGTAAGAAAGGAAAGTTTTTTGCTTTTTCTGAAGCAACGGCTATTCCTACCTTGCCCAAAAACAATACAGCTCTTCTATAGAGCAGCATGCATCAAATGTAGAAAACCAGAAGTCTTTGCAATGTCTCGTTATTGAAATTTCTTGCTGATTAACTTGCATGCTTGTTTGCTTGTTTACACAAAACCGTATTTTGTAATTTTCTAAGCAATGCCAAATTGAAATCTTATTTTTTGCAGAAGATGTGAATTTTTAAACACAAACTTTTCTTCTGGAACCTTTTATAACCAATTTTGCTTCGTTTTCTCAAAAATGCGAAAACTGATTGTTCAATCTGAACAAAACCGATAGAATTGCAAAAAAACGTGAACCAACGTAAATACGGTGTAAATATTCCAAATAATTTCAATACAATAAATAAGTAAAGATTAATGATGGAGATCAAGCACTAGTTAATCCGTGTTACTGGATTAAGACCAGCTACTACCAACAAAAAAATTATATCATTTTTTTTTTCTATCAATCATAAGTGGTTTTAGCTAATAAAGCAAAATAAATAAAATTAAACCCTCAAATCCGGTTTAAAATTAATCAAAAATTACATAAATATTTCTTAAACCCACTCAAAACCTATTAAAATGAAATTCTTTTAATGGTTTATTATTCTTCTTTTAATTACCTTAAATTTAAGATATCACACGGAAAAAATGGATTTGAAAATTAAAAGGTAATACTGATTTAATTTTAAATCCATTGGATTTATTTATAATCCACCAGATTAAACCCTATTTTCACTATATATCGAGAAATAAGACGATTCATGCAAAGCGCCATAATTTCCGCCCTTTAAGACAACAAGGGCTAAATTTTAACATATAAATCATTTTTTTTTTGGATAATACGGTGGACCTGTAGGTTGGGTGACAAAATTTGAACGACATAAAGAAACACTTTCTGTATTCCACGCGGAAGCTAAAAATGCTAATATAGATATAACATCGATATTTTTTTGAAAATAGCCTCCTATGATTGAAACCAAAAATGCTTTAAATTGCATTTTAAAACATATCTAGGTATTATAAATGATAAAGAATGTTTATATAGATATAAAATCGATATTTTTTTTTGAAAATAGCCTACTATGATCAAAACCAAAATTGCTTTAAACTGCATTTTAAAACATATCTAGGTATTATAAATGATAAAGAATGTTTATATAGATATAAAATCGATATTTTTTTTTGAAAATAGCCTACTATGATCAAAACCAAAATTGCTTTAAACTGCATTTTAAAACATATCTAGGTATTATAAATGATAAAGAATGTTTATATAGATATAAAATCGATATTTTTTTTAAAAATAGCCTCCTATGATTGAAACCAAAAATGCTTTAAACTGCATTTTAAAACATATCTAGGTATTATAAATGATAAGGAATGTTTATATAGATATAAAATCGATATTTTTTTTTAAAAATAGCCTCCTATGATTGAAACCAAAAATGCTTTAAACTGCATTTTAAAACATATCTAGGTATTATAAATGATAAAGAATGTTTATATAGATATAAAATCGATATTTTTTTTTGAAAATAGCCTACTATGATCAAAACCAAAATTGCTTTAAACTGCATTTTAAAACATATCTAGGTATTATAAATGATAAAGAATGTTTATATAGATATAAAATCGATATTTTTTTTTGAAAATAGCCTACTATGATCAAAACCAAAATTGCTTTAAACTGCATTTTAAAACATATCTAGGTATTATAAATGATAAAGAATGCTAACATAGATATAAAATCGATATTTTTTTTAAAAATAGCCTCCTATGATTGAAACCAAAAATGCTTTAAACTGCATTTTAAAACATATCTAGGTATTATAAATGATAAAGAATGTTTATATAGATATAAAATCGATATTTTTTTTTGAAAATAGCCTACTATGATCAAAACCAAAATTGCTTTAAACTGCATTTTAAAACATATCTAGGTATTATAAATGATAAAGAATGTTTATATAGATATAAAATCGATATTTTTTTTTGAAAATAGCCTACTATGATCAAAACCAAAATTGCTTTAAACTGCATTTTAAAACATATCTAGGTATTATAAATGATAAAGAATGTTTATATAGATATTAAATCGATATTTTTTTGAAAATAGCCTACTATGATCAAAACCAAAATTGCTTTAAACTGCATTTTAAAACATATCTAGGTATTATAAATGATAAAGAATGCTAACATAGATATAAAATCGATATTTTTTTGAAAATAGCCTACAATGATCAAAACCAAAATTGCTTTAAACTGCATTTTAAAACATATCTAGGTATTATAAATGATAAAGAATGTTTATAAAGATATAACATCGATATTTTTTTTGAAAATAGTCTCCTATGATTGAAACCAAAAATGCTTTAAACTGCATTTTAAAACATATCTAGGTATTATAAATGATAAAGAATGTTTATATAGATATAAAATCGATATTTTTTTGAAAATAGCCTCCTATGATTGAAACCAAAAATGCTTTAAATTGCATTTTAAAACATATCTAGGTATTATAAATGATTAAGAATTCTAATATAGATATAAAATCGATATTTTTTTGAAAATAGCCTACAATGATCAAAACCAAAATTGCTTTAAACTGCATTTTAAAACATATCTAGGTATTATAAATGATAAAGAATGTTTATAAAGATATAACATCGATATTTTTTTTGAAAATAGTCTCCTATGATTGAAACCAAAAATGCTTTAAATTGCATTTTAAAACATATCTAGGTATTATAAATGACAAAGCATGCTAATATACCCTCAAATCCGGTTTAAAATTAATCAAGATTTACATAAATATTTCTTAAACCTACTCAAAACCAATTAAAATGAAATTCTTTTAATGTTCGATTATTCTCCTTTTAATTAACTTTAATTTATGATATCACACGGAAAAAATGTATTGAAATTTAAAAGATATTGCTGATTTAATTTTTAATCCATTGGATTTATTTATAATCCACAAGATTTAACACCATTTTCATCATTTTTAAACACTATATCTCGAGCCATAATTTCCGCCCTACTGGACGACAAGGGCTAAATTTGACATATAAATCACTACTTTTGGATAATACGGTGGACCTGTAGGTTGGGTGACAAAATTTGAACGACATAAAGAAAAACATTCCGTGTTCCACGCGGAAGTTAAAAATTTCATTTTCATAGATTTTTATTTTTTTTTATATCCATCACGTACTGCAACCTTATAACTTATTTATGCAATAAATTAGGATACACCACCTATGAAATTCGATAATACTTCAGTGTATCAATAAGATTTCATTTCTCAGAAGGACTACGAAACCGGATTCGACTTCTAAGAACCAATCTCAATATTTTTGAAGGAAATGTCATGATGTTAAGGATGTAAATGTCAGTATTTTGTTGCGTCATATTTAAACGACTTGATACAGTCTCATAATTGTGATTAGACTGACTATATTAAAAGCTCTTTAGAGAATTTCAGAAAGAAGTTGATGAAGCAGAATTTTAATCCTTAATTTCCCCAACTTTTTAATATTATGTTAATTCTTGTATTTTACCTTTTTCAGTCTTAAAATCTTATCACAGGAATTAACGCACAAGAATCTAATCTCAATTCTCCAATCGTTAACGATTAACCATGCTTCTCTCATTTAGCAGAGAATGAAAAAGTAAAAAAAATCCTATTTTAAGGCAAATTAATTAGCCCTCGAGACATGAATTGGGGATTTTTTTATTCTTTTTTTCTCTCCCGTCAGAGAGAGAGAGAAAATTGAGTGAGGTTAATTTCAATAAACGACCTCGAAAATGATTATTAAAATAATATAATGTAGTAATTAAAATGAAAATGTCCCTGACGTCCTCCATAATTATGTCACAACCCATTCAATTTTCATCCAAAAAAAATTGTACTTTTTCATTTACGCTCTCTCGCGAAAAAGCTTTTTATTATTATTATTTTCACTTGATGTGTATTTATTTTTGTAACATTTTCTCCCATTCCATTCCAGCTCAGCCTACGATGTCGTTGTTAGCAAGAGGATGAGAGTGATGGTATATAATCATATAATAATGAAAATAATATGAAACAATGAATTTTTTTTTTCATAAACCGCCATTAAGTTGGTATAAAAATAACAACAACGAGAGCGAGAAGCACGAGCAGCTTCTTTTATTTGTTGATTAAAAGAGCGCAGAACTTTGTTAGTTTTTTTGCTTCAATTACTAGAGCGGAATTTTAATTGTTTTACGGTGTGAACTAATTTGTTGGAATTGAGTTGGAATATGGAAGGAAAAGGATTTAAAATTTAATTTTTTCAAACCTGATCTGTGCAGTTTTGAAGTGTGTTTTGTTATAAAATCGTAAAAAATTAATATAATTAAATCTCTATTGACTGATTCAGAAAAATGTGTTTTGAAGAAGTTTAGAAGGAATTACTTTATTACCCTACTAGCTACCTTCCTAGCTACGTTCAGAGCTACCATACTAGCTACCCTAATTTCTGCCATCGTAGCTACCCTCCTTGCTACCTTTAGAGCTTCCCTACTAGCTACTTTACTAGCTATTCTACTAGCTATCCTACTTGCAACTTCTAGATATCTAGTAATTCCAGAATAAAGACCCAAAAATTATGATTTAAAGAGCTTTATAGCAATGCACAAAAGATGTTGAGGGAGTGGCTACGGAGCTCTTTTTAGTAGCTACAATCTCAAAAATTTTGGCCTTTTAAACCTCCAGATAAGTGCACTTTCCACAGCTCTCCACAAAAGTAACAAGATTTTACTTCCTCTAAAGAAGTCGTATACACTTGCACCTATGCACTATCTCCTTTATTACCCAATAACTCACAAGAAGCCATCAGATTAGTAAGCAAAAAGTGCCAATGCAAGCAGAAAATTTTCCATAAAATTGCGCTCGAGAAAAATGAGTGTCGACCGCAGATTGCAAAGAGCCAGTAAAAAAACTGATTACTATAATGTTTTATTATGGTTTTGTAGCAAAAACGGGGGAACCGCGAATAAAAGTGTAGAGAAAAAAAATCTGAATTGCTGTATGCTTGCTGAGGCTCTCTGGAATGATAATATTTAATAATAATTTTGATGGAATATTGTGGATGAATAAAAATAAAGAAGAGAAATCTCGGTGGTTGCGAGATAAACAAGTACTTGTTATTTATTAAAAAAAGAAGAAATTGCGAGAAAAAAACTGTATAAATGAATGGACGCGAGGAGCACAGAGTGAAAATTTTCAATTTATATAAAGAGGATTACGTGGCAGATGAGATTTTTATGCAGATTTATCAATTATGTTTGATATTACAAGTACTTTCATTTTACTTTTCACACATTTCTGTCTGTTACATTCGCACCGACCAAAAATAATAATCGAGGTGAAAATAAATTTATTTTTTATTATTAAAAATATTTTAGGGGTTGTTCGTAAATGATTGGTTTGCAAAACATAAGCTTGCAGAGATTCTTTGGAACACTAAGGCATAATTAAGTCATACAGCAATCCAATGCTAGCAAACGGAAATTTTTGAGTTCTTATTATTCGAACTCCGAATTTTTGAGGTTCTTATTTTTCGAAAATCGAATCTTCGAAGTTCTTATTTTTAAAAAAATTCGTTGTGAATTATTATTTTTCGAAGTAATTTGTAATTTTAGTGAACATTCATACTAGTTTTTAAATTTAGATAATCATTATGATAAAATTGTATTCCTTAAATGTTTATGCTTTAAAAAACAGCTAGTTTAAAAAAATTAAAAAGTAACGGACTTTCTTATTTTGAAATTTTAAAAAAATACCGCACGAAAATTTTGAATTTTTTTTGTTTGTAACGGACTCTGTTCTCTTTGCTAAAATTGGACAGCAATAATTAAGCTATTTAATACTCTTTACCGTTTATCAGTGTTTAGAGGATTCAAAAGGGAACATACATGACATAGTGATCATACATGCTCTATCCTGTGCCCTATGTTATCCTCAAGTATATACCCACTCTCAGTGTTACCAAACACAACCTTAACACCTTTCTCAGTCTAAAATTTAAACGCCATCTGTGACCAACCCCATATATTTGTGCATAACTTACACTCTCTTGAATCATCCTCAACATTGTCCTTTGTGGCTCATGTTCCGAATACATAATCAAATTGTTCATTGTGTAACGAATCATTGGCTGAATTCGGGATTCGTATGTTGAATGTTCCAATAAGATTGCAGTACCGAAGATTGCAAGTAAAAAGCAAATTATTTGTAGAATTGTGAACTGTAAAAAAAAGAGAGGAAAAAAAGGAGAACGGAAAATTAATATAAATGGTAATGAAGGGCATTTGTATTCTTGAATTCTCAAATAGAGTTATTCATATTGAAAAATAACTGTTAATGTTGATATTTTAACGCAGGGTGGATTCCAAGGACACATTTTTACTGGCACGTGGAGTTTTTTGTGCATTCTTGCCATTGTATTGTCGTAATATTGCTTTGGGGCCATTCACTTATTACGTAACGCTTTTAGGGGGGGAGGGGGGTCTAAGATTTTGTTACGGTTCAAACAAGGAAATTTTTTTTTCATACAAATTTTGTTACGAGGGGGGGGGGGTCTAAAAAGTCATTTTTTCGCGTTACGTAATAAGTGAACAGCCCCTTTATGGTTTTTTGAATTCTCGAAATTCTCGACTAACATTTAACGGGTTTGAAAAATTCGAATTTTAACGAACTTTAAGCATTTAAATTTAAAAGTTTGAAATTCGATGAGTCATAAAGTGCTGTTCCTTTCAGACTTAATTTTGACATGATCTTCAAATAGCTTTATCCAACATACTTTATGAAAAAACATCAACCTAAGATTTACACGATTTATAGTAAAAATCCCAACAATTTTCCTTAATTTTCTCAAATCTCTATAAATTCAACCTCAAAAGAGTTTCCAAAAAATAATATCTACCCAAAAAAATTCCAATTCAATTAATTATAAAGGAACAAAATCATAAACTAAGCTTAACCAGGAATTGGTCGAACTATAAAATGTTTCCATGAAGATAATTTAAAAGTTTAATGTGCTCTGGCTAAGGCAATAAACCAAATTAAACTTCATTGCTTCTTTGGAGACACAAAAAAAGTATCCCATATAAGTAACACAGACATATAAGCACACTTCGAAATAAAAGTCCATCACCCACTCCACACTTAAGCATGAAATAATGTGTTAAAATGAGGATAAATTATGAAAAGAAAGGCGAGAATGAGGGAAGTAAAAAAAGAGAGCAAAGGGAGACGAAAGTCGAAAATGAATCGCTTTCAGAATGACTTATAAGTTAAAACATCATTTGATAGAAATATATGTGTACGTTTTTAGTTCCTAAAAGGAAAACCACCAGTGGGGACACACGAGAATGGAAGTTAAGTTGGAGTAAATGGGGTGGAATTGTATAGATGGGAGATGGTTATTGGTTTGAGGAATGAAATGTTTTGAAAATATGAGGAATAGCTTACTATTTCAGTTGAAATTGCATAAAAAGAGCTGTCTTATGGATTTATGAAAGGTAACTTTGGCACAGTCCTCAATAATGTGTTCATATATTTTATTAATGATGTTATGAATCAGCTTTAACGTAGACTCTTCTTTGAAAATATTTGACAGATTAAACCTCTGACAGGTTAAAAACCTTCACAGGTTCAAAACCTTGACAAGGACCAAGCCTTTAAGTAAATCAAATGGTCAGACTGTATACACTCTTGACCAGATTTTATCTTTACTTTCCTGCTCCAAATTACAAATTAGCATACTATGGGTCCTCGATTTGAGTAGATTCGATTTGAATAATATTTTTGTTGGAACAAAACACCTACTCAAATCGAGGACCTCCAGTAGTTCCTCGAAATTCCAAAACATTTAAGGTTTACAGGTTATGAAAGCACTTCAAATTGACTGGTTGTGAACTCAAACAGTTGCAACATCAACAGCCACCTACCATTTCTAAGTCAACTACATACTCCCACACCATTCAACTCAACCTAACATCCCCCTCGATAAGAAATAAATACAAAACACATTGAAGTATACAACAACACAAAAAAATAGTCTCCTTCCATAAGGACACAAGCTAGTCGGTCTGAGGAGGAAACATCAAGAATAAGAGAGTGAAAAAAATTAAAGAAACATGTCACAACATAAATGTACATATATATTTTATGATTAATGCTTTTTCTTCTCGTGTCCGTTCAGCTCTCTCGACTTTTCCCTTCATTGTTGTTGCTATCGTTCCTCATTTGGAATTGTCGAGTTGTGGGTGGAAAGACAAGCGAAGAAAAAAAAATTTTTTACGTTAAAGCAAATTCCAAGTTTTTTGCTGCTACTACTGCTTACATACCTAAAACTCACCCCCTCTATGTAACCCACACCAAAATATGTTTTTTTTTTCATAAATATGAACCGTAAAATAGTAGGTTATGGAGTGAAAAAGAGTTTTTTGTGAGCTGAAAGAAGGACGAATGTGGAACTGTGAAAAAGTAGTTTTTCTTCTAGCCTGTCACATATAATTGAGGGATATTTTTCAGAAACATTTTTATGTGTTTTTCCCATTGCCATAGAATGGCGTTATTTCTCTTCTCCCATCTACTCCATCCTATACAGCAATTTTGGCTAAGAAAAATTTCCCAAAAATGGATATATCGATCTCTCCCATGTGGCACAAAACTCCGAAGCCGAGAAATGTGAGATGCCTTATGTGAATCATTACATCCTTAATATAGCTAATAAAATTTATATACTTACAATCATCAGTCCAAGTCCATGCTCAACTAATGCCGCACAACATCCAAGGAATGAAACGACAAGTACAAAAACTGCAAGTGCAATGAGAATGTAAACACCAATGTAGTATGAATAGACGTCAAGAATTCGTATCCATTCTTCAAAACCCGGCTCCACACGAATCCAAATTGTGAAGGCAAATAAGCCGAGACCGCATAACTGTAATGAAGGAAATAAAGAGAAGAAGAAATTGAATTTAAAACATCATGAAACTTTTTAAAATGAGTAAGGAGAAAATTAAATTCGTTTTGATTACTTGAATGAGGAGCTGAAATTACATTTTATAAATAAAATAAAAAGAAAAATATAAAGTCAAACGAAGAAATTGATGGAAAAGTGAAGAGCAAAGAAAAGCCAAATAAAGTAATTTGTAGCAATATCATTAAGCTTTCTCAAGTGCTTCAAGAAAATGGCAAGTAAGAAAGCTCTTTTTTGATATTGAGTGTTCTTTAATTTATTTAATTAATCAATGATTTTCATTGAATTTGAGTTTTTCAATTTTCAATGCATTTATAATGTAATAATCAATGAAATTACGATAAATTGATGAGATTACAGATTCTGTTGCAGTTAAACAGCAGCGATGAATATCTAATAATTAAGTTAAAGCTCTTTTATGTTGAGTTTACCGATTGAATTCTCAAATTCTATTAAAAATCGAAATATTATTGCGGGTCTTGTTACTTTGATTTTCTATTTTCAAGTTCAAATATTATTTTTTGTCCGTTAATCTTGTAAATGTAAAAATTTCTATCAATTTGACTGTTTTACAACATTCAACCAAAAAATCTCAACAGAATCTTCAAAATATGTCAAAATTAACTTATAAACTTTCTCTTAGTCACCCATCCAAGCCGTTCACAGTAATCCCTCAAGCCAATTTCATGACATAAAAATTGCTCTTCAATTTTTACCAGAATAAAAAAACTTATGCCAAAGAAAAGGAAGAACAGAAGCTAAAACGGAACTTCAACGGCTAATTGAATTTTTGTTTCGCGCATCGGAGTGGATGATGATGATAAAAAAAAGTATATATATAGAAAATATTGTAAGACTCTTTTGAGTATCGTAATGTAATGCTTGCTGCCTTTTTATTAAATTTCCGCTCTTTTAAAGCGCCCAGTGGAACAGCAAAATGTGAAGAATGATGATGATGAAAAAAAAATATATTCTTCATAAACAGTTTCTATTTCTCATCTCTATGTGCTGACTATTCTCTGTCAAAAAGAGAAAAATTTTCCGTTTGCATGCTGATTCTTATGAGTTTTAGCTTCCGTGTTGAGAGTTAAATGTCTGCAATTGCTTAGTATACTATTGGGACTCATTGTAGAGCGTATTATGGGAAAGAGAGAATGAGACATTGAGCAATGCTGCGTTTTTGGATGCTATTTTAGGGTTGAGAACATCAGGAAATTGTTTTTTAGGATATATGGGAATATTTTCTGGATGCAATTGTTGGAGGGAGGCGTTCTTGGCTGGTGTGGGTTTAAAAAAATAAATTTAACCCCTTAATTCCTGAATGTAATTTGTTAAAAACCTCAACCAGGAAGAAAAGTCCCTCAAAAACTCGATTCAATACTTCAATTAGTCCAAAAATTTGCAACCCCTGAATACTTTTGCCAATGAAAAGGCAGAAAAAGCATAAAAAAGCGCAAAAGGAAATCGATTTTCCCTGTGCACCCTTCTCATGAATACTTATGCTGCCTTTTCTTTCCTTAACTTCCTCTCCGAATCCCTACTTTTTGTCATTAAAAGAAAAATGAACTTCTTTCTATTTGGAAAAAAGAAGAGGAAAATATTTTTTTTTTGTTTTATTAAAGGTTTTCTTACATCCGCATTGAGTAGGAACGCAAGCAAGAAAATGAAGTAGTAAATTCTTGTAAAATAAATTTTTATGCATAAATTAAATAACGAGAACTAAGAATAGCGTAAAGTGGGGAATGGCAAATGAAATTAATCATATTTAATAATACTATAATGCAAGCAGATTTATTGCTGTAGATTTAGAAAAAATTTTATTTAAATTTCATTATTTGTGTTTTTATTGTTGTGGGATTTTAATGATTAATATTAGTGGAGTTTAAATTTTAATCGATAAATCTTTGTGGAGTAGTGAGAATTATTATTTAAAAGGAACTAAATGGATGGATTTTTCTTAAAATTTTATTAACATATATTTAGAATTGGGCTAGCTGGATGAAGCTAGTGTCATATTAGAATAAAATTTTGGGATTTTGAACTTCATTTATTAAGTTTTGGCAAGGATAGAAGTAAGTTCTTTAATGCCAAGTGATTAGCTATTTTTGATGCTAAGTTTGACTCTCATTGAATAATTCGCATCACAGAATGACAAGAGGATTTATATATTAAAGCAAATAACATTGAAAAGGAAGAGAATTATGAATTTTGTAAGATTTCATAAGGATTTCAATATTCCTAACAATCGATCAATAATATATCATGAAAAACTGCACAGTAAACAACTTAAGAATACTCTGTAAAATAAGAATCATCACCAAACTATGTCAATTTCAAATATTTTAAGTTATGATTTTAAATTTGTCAACATAATTTTTTGAAGCAGGACTCAAACCTTTGTCCAAAACTAATCTCAATCTATGGATGTAAGCTTTAATCACTTATCTATCTAAGGCTTATTACATTGCTGACTAATCTTGCCAAAACTCCTACATAAACTTTAACAATACTAATTAGAGCAGGTCTGACGAAACTTGAAATCAGAGCTCGAAGTGGACTCAAATCATTTCCAAAATGAACTATGCTTAAAAGTTCGATCAAAATTGTTAAAAATCAAAGCTTCGCTCTGAATCCTTTTCTCCGGACGTCACAATAAAACGAATCCATTCAGAAACACTATTTCATACTGCACTGCCTCAAGCATTAGTAAAACTATTCAAGAGAAAACAAAAAAAATCCATTGTATTTTGAAAGCAAGTCATAACCTTCCCCAAGAAACGATTGCAGAATATATCAATGCACAATTCAAGAACAGAAATAAAAATAAAAGTCTGACTTTTTATTTTCTGTTATTGCTGCATTGCAATTCTAGTGCATATAAGAGTATTATGAGTATCAGGAGGATGTTCAAGTGTAGGTGTAAAGTCAGCATTAATTTTATTGCACTTATAAAATGAAATTGTGCATAAAAAGTTAAAGTTGTAGGGTTTGGTTTCTATAGGTGTCAAGGAACTCATTGTTTGAGAGTACTTTGGGAAACATTCAAAAGAATTGAAAACGGAATTTAAGTTGATTTTGTATTCACACATATTTTCTATTGTTTCGTAATGGCTGTTAATGGAGTCTTTGTTTCAGTTTCATTTTGTAAGTTTCATTTTGTTTCAATCAAGATTTTTGAACTTTGAATGAAGATTTTTGAACTTTGAAACAAGATTTTGAATTTTGAACCAAGATGTTTAAACTTTTATTATTTAAATTGAAATATATCTGGAAATCCAGTCAAATTGTTCAAAAGATAACATTCTAAATATTTAACCAAATAGATTTATTGATGGTTTTGTGGTTCAAATGTCTATACATTTCAAATTTACTTTCTATTGAGTTTAAATTGCATTTTATCCAATTCATTGAATTTACAAAGATTTAATTCACCAAACACATCAACATTACATCATCCTATATCCATCAATAAAATCATCCAGCACTAGTCTTTTATAAAGAATTCTAAATTAACTTCACTAAATCAATAAAGCATTCAATTTGCATTAAGCATCCTTTGAATGACTAACAGGATGCTGCAGGCAATATGTTGAGCTCATAACTAAAAGAAAAACACATGCAGTCAATGAAAGGAAAGGCAAAATTGACCGAACGATGAGAAAAGAGAGAATCATCGTCTGGAGAACAAAGAAGAAGGAACTGACTGTGAATAAATTTCATGACTTAGAACCCTTTTAGTACATAATGATGTTCATATTTCTTTTTTATGTTCCTACAATCAAAAATGTTAGAAAAATAAAAAAAAAAATTGAACCTTTTGCTCGAAAAAACAAATGAAAAAAAAAAACTTTTAAAAAGTCGTTAAAATTTTTAATTATTATTTAACTTTCTCCTTCCACTCTCTCGCTTATGCCTTCCTCATAAACAACACAACTTTTAATTTCTAAAGAATTTCATAAATAAATTTTATTTTTATTTTTTCAAAGTGAAAAGTTGAAGACATAAAAAAAGTTTTATATGTTAACTTGTAAAGCCTGTATACGCATGAAAATTTTAAAGAGAGAAAATAAGGAACAGTTACATAAAGTGCCAATTTTCAATTCACAAGAAAGTCACGTAACTTTTTTAGTGCACAATTTAAAAAGGGGTTATGTGTTTATGGATTTAATTAGTCTTGTTGACATTGGAAATTGTTATTGTTTAATATAGAAAATAAGTTTTTAGTGACTTAATTGTTTTTTCGGAAATCTGTTGGAATGTGGACTGAATTTTTAATGATTATGAATAAGGTGCTGCAAATTTAATTGCAAATATTGCTGAATATTGTGATTCATCATTTAAACCAGTGTTGTTCAAACTGTGTGCTGCGGCACACTTGTTTAAGTCTATAATTATGTGGAGTTGGCACCTCCTCTCCCATTTCAGTTTAAACCCTTGCCATAATAATCATAAAGATTCCACATTTCATAGAAATTCTCAAAAAAAACCTAAATTAAATGAAGAACCTCAAGTTCCAGTTAAATTTAAAAATTTTAATCAAACCGACAACTGAATAAGCTACTTACTCTTCGGTTTAAAAGAACCTTGACTTTATATCTTGAATTACGCATTCTTATTTCTTCTCCAGGCTCCTACATCACTCTAAACATTTTGTTTTTATCGAGTGTATAATTTCAAACAGCCCTCATGCTTCCCAGAAGAGTTGTTTAAAGTCATTTTACAAAAGCCATTAAAATTGTACCATTAAATCATAAAGAACGCCAGATGAATTTAATTATGTACCTAAAAGCAAGATTTTCTTAAGAAATTTGCCTTATTTTGATATTATTTTAATAATCAACAAAAACGAAATGTTTTCACAAAGAATCTGAATAAACTTATAATTGGACAAGCTTACAAGAAGGAAAAAAAAAATTTTGCTAAGAAAATTTTGAGAGAGTTTTGTTGACATCTAAAATGCT